GATAGTAAAGTATTAAATAATTCTGGTGGTACAAAAAAAAACAAATATTTAATACTTTACTATCAGAATATAAACGAAAATAAAATAAAAAAGATTCGAACTCTGACTCCTCGCTTGATAGGCAGAACCTCTACGCGCTGAGCTATGGAGACTCGGTCGGTTTATATACAACTAGAATTTAAAGGACTAATAAAAATATAGGATCTTCTTTCAATGCACAGTGGGGAACGCAACGTTTACCGGCAGCCAGACAGGCCGCATGCTGTTCTAGAGAGCATAGTAAAAGATATATCAAAGAGCCAGACGTCTTAAAATACTTCTTTTTCCGACGTTGCTAGCTCTCGTACTATTAGAGAAGCAAACTATGTTAAGTGACAAGGCACAGTTGTGAGGAAAAATGAATTTAAAGTTCATTTTTGAAGTTATTTTCTAATTACTCACGATTCGATTTTTAGAAATTTTGAGTGATGGGATCCTTGGAGGACTATTAAAATTACAATTTAAAATTATTTTCAAAAAGTACACAGTATCCGAAAGAAATAAAAAATTGTATTTTTTAAATGGAACACCAGACACAAGACAGGGCGTCCCAGAAATAAGTGCAAGTATTTTATTTTACATTAATTGAATATCTGCGTTGATTAATAATTATTGCTCCAAATACTAAAAAAGTGAATTTTGTATGTGTATTAGACAGTGTGGTAAAAAGTAACACATAGATTTTATTTTATTTCTTGACGAATGCTTATTTATAACAACAGAGACGTACTTATTCATAATTTTTTATTATATTGATTTCTGATTCAAATCCACATTTATATAGTATATTTTATTAACACAATTAGGTATGTAATTAATTAATATTTGGGCGGAAATATGAGGGTGGGACATTTAATTGGTATACTCTTTTAAAAACATTTAAATAATTTTCTTTTTGTAAACTAATGGACTAGCAATATTATCGTTTATAGCATCTGTACGTTTTGTAAATTTATTGCGTTAAAAAAACTCTAAATTTCAACATTCGATGGATATGTTCCAGGATAAATGAGGTCTAAATTATAAGAAAATGAATTTTCTACGAAAAGATAGGTCAAAATGGTTTAACACAATTTAATAGACAATTAAATTGTGCATATGATTCACATAAAATATACAGGGTGTTCCATTTAAATTAAACAAGTTATTGCCATGTAAAACTAGTAATTATTAAATACAAATTTTTAGATATTCTGTATAATTTATCCAATGATCCCATGATTCACAATTTCTTAAAATCTGATCATTTGGCTACAGTTCTTCGTGTCGAATGTGGTAGGTACAACAAACAAATTGATGAGAGATTCGACGTGATCAAAGAAATAGAAATACAATAAAAAGCGGGTTTTGAAACGTAATCCGCCATATTTCAGAGACTGTGGCGAAGAACGGAGTAAAAAAGAAGCGCTAAAAATAAAAAGGTTTTTGATTGAATCCAGACTTTCTTAAAATAAACTGAAAACAGACCTCGGCGAAATAAGGAACTTTATTTCGCGTGCCTTTGCAACATTACGAGATGTACATAGTGGCCAAGTCAAAACGCCAAGCAAATTACAAAAAAAAAAGGTATATAAAGTTTCATATAAAAACTGACACAATTCTGATTTTATACCTACGTATTAATGCGGGTACGTATGGCCTAGTTTAACTTAAATTGCTCACTCACGGTTTGCGCTAACTGATTTAGTAATTAAACGATAGTGACTCTTAAAACCAACCATTTGCGATTTGATTTTGGTTTTCTAATTTAATGCTTGGTCTCTGATTGTTTTAAGGTAAAAGCATTTGTTGTATAATCTCGGGAAATTGAAAACTACCACATATATTTCAATGCCAGTTTCGATATTCGATGATTTTTGTCTACATTTCAGTACACTGTGATCAAAACAAGTCCGTCACAGGTTCTAAAATTTATATTTCAGTTCGAAATTATTGTAATTAGTCTGTTATTTGCGAAAACTCAACTGAACTACTAAGTAGAATTTTGAAAATTCTACTTTGAATCTCTCAGACATTTATTAGAAGTTCAATGTTCATAAATATTTATTAGACAGGATGGGCTTTACAAAGTATAACATTACAATGCTCGGATCAAGTCAAGCTCCGCTTTTAAACAAAAAATAACTATCAGGAAGATTCCAAATATATGTATCTTCAGATTGGAATGGAAAGTACAATAAGATACTTTTGACCGGGTTTTGACACATCCTGATTTGTCTCTTTAAGCTTGTAGTTTAACAACCCAGGGACGTTGAACAAAGTTGAAGAGGTAATATTTTGGCCAACTGTATAACAAAGAATTATTGAAATGAAATAAAGGAACCTACGTTGTGTTAAAAATAATTTTTTATTTTAACTTACCTTGGATGCACTCGACAGAAGCAAATTTCCCTAATATATAATTTGAGGGGAATAGGTTATGTAAATAAAACGCTAAATTTGTAAATGAAATGAAAGGAGTGCTTCTACCTGGAATTCACAAGTAAAAGAGCACGGCAGCGAAAACCTTGATCACTATTCAAAAGAATCGCACTATGCTGTTCTGATGATTTATAAAAAATAAATACACAAATATTGTCTTCGTACCAAAGTTTGTAGTTTGACATACTTAAAACATTCGTAACTGAAGAGGTTTTGTTAGTTAGCAGGTCCCCATCTGAAGGTACTGAGGTGTATGGATTCGGGAGGCTACTCAGCTAGACTTTATAGGTTTGGTGCCAATATCTTTATATTATGCATTAGCTCAGGCACGGTTGGAAATTATTGGTACATACAACAAGGCCCTTAATGTCACAAGGCCATTAAAATCATACTGAACCAAAAACATCGGTACGAATGGACAGTATACGATTGCATTTAGATTTAATTTTAAACTAGAAATTATATACAGCATAAATCGAATCCATTAAATACACACACATGTTATACAATATAATTCTCAGATGAGATAAATAAGGAAACGCTTGAGTACAAAATATTACAACAAAAAGTAGTACTATTATTTTTTATATCAATGTTTAAATATAAGGGACATATTTTCAAAACTAGTAATTTTAACATTCTCGTGGAATTGACTTTTGATTAACATATTTATGTTTAATTTCCTTACATTAAAAATATGAAACAACTATTTTAAGCAAGCATTTATAATTTTAGAGGGAGCGGTTTCTTAATAAAATTGGGCCACCCTATAGCTTGTTCTCACGTACGTTCTACCGACATTTCTTTGGGCCACTGAAAAATCTGCAGGCGACACGAATTGCTTGCTGGTTTCTTTCGCTGTTCGTTTTTTCCTTTCTTTTCTCTACTTTCTTCTTCCTTTTTTGTGAAACGTCGCAGAAATTGCGAAATTATTTTCAGTTTGTGCTGATTTCGAGGCGAGAATTTATCAAATTATTTCTTTAGAAAACCCGGAACAGGCGCTGGATCTTTAAACTTCTGTATTTTCCTTTGTTTCTGTTCTAATATTGCCTTATTTTTTCCAATATGAAATTTTGCGAAATGACTGTCTTTTATATGCTTTTGGCCTACTAGAAAATATTCCGAAAAAAAAACATTTCTTGGGAACGGTCATGTTTTTTATGATGTCTAATTTATTATTCATTACTAGCCCACTAAGTTACATCTGCAAGGAACTTTGCATACTGTTGCGGACCCGTGTAGACTCGACCCAACCTAACTATATGTCCCGCCCTCAGATGAACTTAACATCGCATTAAAGAATAGACACCGTAATGGTTCATTCGAATGTTCGAGAAGAATCGAGTTCCACTGGAATGGAGTAGTACATACGAGAACATTCGAAACCTTCTCTATGCACCTAATGATCTATGGACTATTCGAGAAATCTTTAGCTGTGGGTATAAAAGCCGGCGGCTGGGGCCTGAGGAGGACAGATATAAATAGACGAGTACAGTTGACGCGCTAAAATTCAAAATG